CCCGTCTGTGTGCGAGGGGGCTAACATGGATCATTGCCCTGCGTAAGATCTGCTAACTAGTGCCTCAGCGGCTGTATTATTTTAAGTTAATTATCTGATTTATTTCTATATGATTTTGGCCACTACAGTAAGCCTGACCCAGCCCTAATTATAAGCTTTATAAAAGATGAGAGTTTTAAGCCTATCCCAAAATGTGTATACTTTCTATAACTTCGACTGATGAGGGTGTGATGCTGTTTGGGCTCACATCTGTTTTTCTGGCAGGCATACAACTGATGAAATGGAGAAGGGTTGAAGTAGGTGGAGGGGGGGGTAGCATGGAGAAGAGATACCCAGCGGCTGACTACTATTGTCAAGGGAGTTCAACAAAGTGCAGCAAGGCCCTCCAGCTGGATTTTAGAGGAGCATCAGCGTGTTTGTGTGCATGCATGTCACCCATTTGTCTTGCGTGTGTGTGTGAGCTGATTGTCCACTGATGTACATGCCATCATGCTCGAGTGTGTGTATATATAGTAGATGATGTATGTGCTTCCGAGAGGGAAACACACATCACGAGGGGTGGCAGGTGTGCACCACAAATGAGGCCACTGACTGACGGCTTGTCTTTGTGGCCAAGCTTGCCCCAATTTATCCACTCTCCCAGACTTCAATCCCCCTTTTTACTTTGATGGACAATATGTCCTACTTCCCTGCAATGCTCGGCCGCTGTATAATTAAATGTCAAATAACAGTAAACCATCACTCGGAACCAAAATGTATTATTTGTGGCAAATAGAGCACTAAATCGGAGCTGGAGAAATATCTGACTTATTTGCAGCATCCGTGCTCTCGCATTGATATTGAGGACGATTGGATTGCTGCAAGCCCTTGTTGCAAAGTTATTGTCTATCCAAATTCCAAATCAAAGCTGAAACCTTCGAGCATGTCTTGCCGTACAGCTTCATCATTTCACATCTAAGGCAACATTTTGAAAGAGAGGGCATATTGTCATGCCACGTAGAGGATAAAAATGAAAAACCCAAATAAAAAACATTATTTTGACCACAAAACTATGGGACTGACAGTATATAGATGGGTGACAAAAAAGTGATGTGACTGTTAAGGCAGTGGCTCTGGGTAAACAATGGGATGTCCTTTGATCATAATGTTGGCAGTTTGATCCTTCTGTCCACAAGTTAAGGTGTCCTTGAGCAAGACACTGACACCCAAGCAGTTCCCAATTGGCAGGCCAGCACCATGCACGTCAGCTCTGCTACTATATGCATGAATGTGTAAGCGAATTATGCACAAAGCAAGGTATAAAAGGCGCTATACAGTATAAATGCAGAAAAATATTTGCCTTGTTCTCCCTTCATTTGTTGAGGCTTTCCTTTAATTTGTCTCTTATTTCTACAATGTAATAAGATTTTGAATAAATATATTGAAATGTATATATCATTTTAGTAGTTTGGTATTGAGCAACCTTCAAGGACACATTTAAATCTTAAGGTTTTGTATTAAAGGCAATCTTTAAAGCTCCACTGTATATTTTTTATAACCACTTGTGGCAGCAGAAACACTCCAAACACAGAAATCAACACCTTTTTTGAAGGTGAAAATTGGCCTATTATCCATCAAAAAACAATGTTAGATGTTTTGCTTCCTGATAGAGCAATGACACTGAAGGAAACAGAAAAGGTGTTGCCTATGAATCCAAAGCAATCAGCTAAAAGGCGCTGAAATGTTCCGTAGAGCTGAAGTTATCTGAAAATCGGGCATTATATTTGAACTGATTAACATGAGCAGGTCTTTTTCACATACGACTTTATGACTTTTAAAACACGTCATTATAGCTGTAATGTAATTACTTTGCAAATCAAATTCTCGCAATATCACAAGAATACCGGCTTATATAGAACACAAGATCCATCCAATCCATCTTGTTATTCTCCAAATACAGGGGTACCGGGCTCAGTCTGTCTGGACTTGGATGGGTTACATTTCACTTTGTGGGTTGTGTACATGTACACGTGCGTGATAAATAAGGAGGGTGTCAATCATCCATTCCTAAAAAGTCAAATGGATGTGTCCGGACCACAATTGACAGGATCATAAGCGTCCTGTGAGGGTGAGGGTTAAAGTTAAGGTTAGGGTAGGGGTAGGGTTAGGTTCGGTGACGAAACAAGGTGAGGCAACCTTTTTGTTCAAAAGACAAATGGCAGTTCCTTAAAAGGTTTGCGTAAATGCAGCACAGCATATGTTTCATCAGAACAGAATGTTCCTCATCTCATTGAAATAAGCAAAGAATGGAAGTGAAGGCTCCACCCACTGGCTTCGGTAAGAGTTTGCTTGATAGATGGTTCCTTTATCTACCTGCCCACTATTTTTCATAGAGCCACACTTTTTCAAAGTAGTTTCCAATGATGTCAGTTCAAAGGTTTCTGTGGGTTGGAAATTTATAGCCAGAATATCTGGTTTTCCCTTTCTTTTACTGCACTACAAGTTTATATAATATCATACCTCTCCAAAGATTTGCCCTGTATCCAAGATATTAGTGTATTTTATTCTGGCATTCATCTTTTTCAAGAGGGATGTGCAAAAAAGTTATATCAATGAGAACGAATAGTTGGAGCCTATCCTTTTACACAAGGGAAGTTAAAAGAACAAGCTACAATCTGTAAAATGTACTGTCCAGTCAAACATGTACATGTATGTTGTGTGAGAAATCATTGACACTTATCATTCATGTCAGGTTTGGGGAAAATAGGACCCAAGTGCAGTTAAAAAATACAAAAAAGGTTTGTTAACAGAAGGCATGAAGAAACAAGAAACTAATTAACAGAAACAAAACCGGGGAGCACGACAGACAGGAACAAACTTACATATGGGAACAGGCAGGAGACACGGACAAGCATGGGTGACAGGGACATGAAATGACAACGAACCGACATGGAGCACAGGGGAAGACAAGACTAAATACACAGAAGGGTAATCACAGAACAAGATACAGCTGGGTAGGGGAGGGAGAAACACAAGGGCAACAGGTGAACACAATGAGACAGACACACCAGGGAAACTAACGACAGGGAGGCAAACACAGGGAGTAGGATCAGACAAGACACAAGGAGGAAAACATTACAAAACAAAGATAGAAAATATAAATCCAAAACCATGACACGTAGTAGAAAAAGAGTACAGTGACAAACTCCATGCTGTGCTTGTGCCTACGTTATGCCCTTTTGTGCGGGTAGCATTCTGCACAAAGCGGGACATCTGGTCCCCTGACAGCAGCTGAGACCAAGAGTTGATCGATGAGTTGTTTCAAGCTGGACTCTGGGACCTGTAATATTACAACTAATTGAAAAGTCTACATAACCCACTAGTTTTGCCTGTACCTTGGTCATTAAACCAAACACACACAAAAAGACACTTAAAGAGTTTAGCCTATTTGAAAAAAATTGCATCAGCCCTAACAATGGTTGTCTGGTTTGTGGGGAATATATCTGTATTTTTCTTGTTGTTCTGCGTTTTAACCTTTATGTTTTATTGCACATATTGTCAGTTGCTTTGCAGAAAAGCTAAATATAATTTAATGTAGACAGACATACACACAGTAAGATTATTTGTCGTTTCTCTGCAGCCCTGCGTATTTACAGCACTAACAAACAATAGATGTAAAATAAGATAAGAAGTACTTTTATTGATCCCAATTTGAGAAATGTTTGTGTTGCAGCAGCATACAAAGACATGGCATGGTCATGGTAAAAACAATCAAATAGCTATCAGTGAACGCTGTCTTTCTCCACTCAGTGTGATGTGTTACATCTTTCAGGTACGGCCCCCACCAGGATGCTGATCCCTTCAAACCCAGGGTCCCGGCTCTGATCCACCACTTTGTGGCCTATAAGAACCAGGACCATGGAGCCTGGCTGAGGGGGGGCGACGTGTGGCTGGACGACTGCCAGTGAGTATAAATGCATTCATACAGTGATATTAACACTGATCAATAACTGAGTGAATAATGTCTGTTGAGTGAAGGTGGTCAACTTTCAATTTAGCTTAATTCTGCAGGGAATCCTCATTATTAGTTTCATATAGCTCAGGTTGTTGTTTGCACATTTGATGACAGATTCCCCCCATCTAATAAAAACTATCGCCTACAGACTGTGTGTGTCTGCATGTGTGTATGTGTGTGTGTGTTTTCCTCTCGAGACCTCAGACTGTCGCAGTGATAATATTCTCTCCTTCCTGTTTAGATTTGCTGATAATGGCATCGGCCTCACTCTGGCGAGGTAAGACCCCCCCCCCCACGGTTCATATTTATATGGATAGTGGGCTTCTGTTTGCATTTGTGGCGTTCCAGGATCCTCTCTCTCTGTCTGTCTGTAAGAGTAATTGGAAAACACCTTATAAGGAGGCGTTTAAGGTGCACTGGGAAAAAGAGCGCTCTGATGCAGTGTGAAAAGTAATTTAGGGGTGTGATGGTCACAGAGGAGGGAGTTGGTGAGAAGACTTTTCAAAGCAGGGAGCCTACATACATCAGAGCAACTTTCCCTCTATGTCATGGCCCCGCCCCTTTCTGGGGGAAAATATCTGCTTCATTGGACTGGGGGTAAATACAGATTATGTGGTGCTTGCCCATCTTATCAGTATTAAGAAAACTGGGCAATATTTAATAATTGAGCCCAAATATGACGGTTAGTCAACCAACGGTATCATAGAGATCGATGATCGGCGTCAGAATGGTGGCATTGGCCAGTTAACAACACTTATACTGGTTTATCCCTGGCTTATCAGTGTTTTATATGTTAATGCTTCATCGACATGCATACACTTGACTTTTAACATTACAACTATTTACTTTGGCGATTGACATTAAACTCGTTAGCATCCAAACTTTGACCAACGGTGACAGGGGGAGGCGTTTTTTTATTAGCGGTGCTTTTAGTAAACGCTGCACATGTTGTCAAGTTGGTGAAGATGTTTCTCCAAATGGAAATGTTTTAGGACGTTGTTAAGTGTTTGCCCCCGTACATTAAATATCTGATATATATAGGACATCAACCTGAAACGGTCTATAGATCATAGTTTAAGCTTCAGCCAAACTGCAGTGACATCTGGTGTTAGATGGACGTTTTGTCAATTTAATAAAAGTTTGCCCGCAATTTAAGGGAACACTGCAGAGGTATGTAATGTTCGTTCATTATTCAAAATGGTTTCAGCTCTCAGGTTTCTCATTTTCCAGATCTCCAACTACATCACTAACTGCTGGGATTTAGAAATACCACAGGTCCAGTATACAGTGAGGGGTGTATCAACCATAGCCAGAGTGCACTTTTGATTAATGAAATAATAGTTTTACTTTTAATACGTCATACTGTAGATGTGTTTGCCCCTACAATAATACATTATTTAATCTACTGCAGTGTCAATAATAATATGTGTGTGCTTTATTGGCTCATAAAATGAACAGTTGTCTTCCAAACATCTTAATTTAAGATGCTCTTAGAAACGGACACAGATTATGGCCACTTGCAACAGGTGTAAAGTGCACCTAAATTATATATTACAGAAGTGTTTTTCATTGCATCATCGGTTATTTTACCAGGACCATTGATGCTTGCTGTTAACTGATGTTAGAAAAGAAGAACAGAAAACACACACAAAAAACAATAACACAGTTAATGAAATCTTGTGTTGGCTGTCCACTGATTTTTTTTATATGTGTGGTCCCCATAAACCCTGGCAGCACATTAATAACTATAATTACTTTCCTGGGTTGATAGCACCTCGGCTGCTGTTAACTCGTTTGCACAGATTTTTATTCTCAGTATGAGCAGCCTTTATATATATCTGCTTGCTGTGAAAACAGACACAATGAACTTACGTGCTGTAATTAAAACATATTGGTGTGCTCAACAAGAAACACATGCACAGTTTTTAACACCCTGTCTTTCATAAATAAAAGTGTATCCAACAGTACCTTGGTAAGAGAAAATAACTGAATACTGTAGGTAAAGTAATCAAACAGCAGAATTTCACCCAAATAGGCTTAAAATGTCTTCATCGTGATGTTTGAATAATAAAGGACCCTCTCATCTGGCGGAGGTTAGCTAGGCTGCCGCTCCGTCTCTGATCCTTTAGGTTATGACATTTAGTTTAGACTCAAAAGGAGGGGTAGTTAAGTTAGAGAAACCGGCTCGAGATACACTTTGTGTTATATTCCATGGAATGCTCTTAACATCCCGATAGCAATGAATATCTGAAGTGCTTTGACAATAAATGCATAAATAAATGTAATCTGTGGAAGCCGTAGTACTGTAAAAAGCACGATCAATCATCTGAGCCGGCCCGGCTAAAATAACTGGATGACCTACCTGCCTGTCAGCCTTCCATCTGTGCACAGACTTATCTCGTGCCCTCATTGGTCATGTGCGCGTTCGTGTGTGTTGGAGGAGGGGCTCTGTAAGGTAGTGGCAGATTTTTTTCCGGCTGTGTATTTTCAAATTCTAGCGCACTCGAGCTGGTTTCTCCATTCTTACCTACCCTACCTTTAAGGCTATAACCAGGCCCATAAAGTTGTCCTTTGTGTATGCGCTGATTCTATCTACCTATCTTCAACCCGGTGAAACACTTACAGAATAAGCATCTCAAAATCACTGCTACTACCAATGCTACTATCACTACACACACTGCTGCTGGACACCTGGACACTCTAACCCCCCCTCTCTGTGTGCAGTGGAGGGACGTTCCCAGACGATGACGGCTCTCGCCAGCAGGTGATAAACTCTCTGTTTGTGGGTGAGAGTGAGAACCGCGGGATGCCCGTCCCTGACAACAGGATCTGGGGCCCCGGGGGGTCCGACCACAGCGGCAGAACGCTGCCTCGCGGCGTGTAAGTGACACACAGAATATCTTCTTTAGGCTTTATGCTCACAAACTTTGCAGAGTTTACAGCCACATCAGAGGGCTAAAAGCCGAGCCTGATTTATAAGGTGATACATTTTCAAATGTTGGTTTTCAGCTTGTTGTTCAAATCCCCGAAATATTAACAAATGCAGCTTTAAAACACAATAGACATTAAGGTTACATGTAACCATTGACTTAAAATGATGTAAAGTATGTCCACATTGGGTATTGGGTGTGTGTATATCATGGATATGCAAAGAGAACTGGACACGATGGCCCCGTTCATTCCTATGAGAGCTGCTCAATGGCGCAGGAAGCCAAAATGGAGCAACTGTAGATTCAAAAAGTCCATGGGCCCTTCTCACTTCTCTTATTTTTCATTTCCTCGCTCCTCGGTCTCGGTCTCACCGGAGGTTGATTTGTCTGCGCCATCTTGAGTAGCGTCCCAATGGCCTTATTTTTGCCGGAGGAGCGAGGAGCGATAATGGAGGAGCGATAACCGAGGAACCACAGACCATCCTCCGATGAAATCCTCAGATACTCGCCCTGCCCCCTTACTGTGTATCGCTCACTGATTGGAAGATGTAGTGCATGCACTGATCTGATGCTTCTTGACATGAGAGCAGTTTCTCAGCGAGTGAAGAAAATACATGAACCTCACAGGGGAGTCACTCCTCAGTTTATACCGTGTGTTGTTTCAATTCATGTATCATTTAGTTACAAATATGTGATATATCTGAACAACAAAGTGGTCAAAAATCATTTTATTCATTTTTTGGAAACATTTTCATGATCGCTTTTTTCGTTTTACATTTTCATTTATTGTCATTTCCATTCAGTCAGTCATTAAGTGCTATTTAAAATGTTAATTTGCTACATATCCACACAAACAAACAAAGTGTGAAATCCAATGAATGTTAATCAAACTGCGTTTTGATAGATAACATATCTCTTTTATTTCTCTGAATTATTTTATTTCCATTGTGCACTCTAATCAGTATTAATCAAACTATTGTTCGTTTATACATTTTAAGAATGGCGTTTATCTTTTTTGAGAATGAGTTCTTATTTTATTTATTGGGGTCTACAACAGATGATACAAATGTTTGTGTCAGTGAATGTGTACTAACAGAGGCGGGGGTATGTGTGGAAATAACGGGGACAGAGCTGGCTGCTGTCAGACGATCAGCTGTGCAGCGTCATCACAAACGGACGTCGCTTCACGTGACGCTCCGGAG